ATATTTCTTTTCTTTATAATTATATATTTTCTTAACTGATCGTATAACAAAATTGTTATGCATGAGAAGCTCATGATGTAGTACTTTCTAAGCATTTGTATACCGTCCCTAAATTGATATGTGTATCGTATGTATATTATATGTAACGCATAATAAAATTGTTATGCATGAGAAGCTCATGATACAGTACTTTCCAAGCTTTTGTATACCGTCTCTAAGTTGATAATATATTGTAAAAATGTATCACAAACGCGCAGAGTTTCTTAACATTAAACGTACCGAAATTTAATATGTGTATACCTATTCGTACCGCGACCTGTCGAATGACCGATTTTTATATAAGGACCAGATTTTTCCTGATTGAATGAAGAAATATCGATTTTGGTAAGGAAATATTGAACGAAGTAACTTTAAGGTTATAATAATTAAACAAAAATCTGCATGTTGCTTTCGTTGGATATCATTGTTCGTCCACAGCAATTTTTTCCTCCCGTTTATAACAGTTTTGGCTGTTCTCAACAAATTTATTTCACACCTGAGATATCAAGGCGAATTTATCTGTTTTCAAAAGAATAACTCTGAGAATTCCTATAAAACAATGTTTGCTCATCGTTTCGGAGAAAAACTTAGAGCCCCATGTCCTATTCTACAAAAGAGGAACTTTCAAACCGTTTGCTTCATATCCAACTCGTGGACATAAAATTGCAACAAATGCATCTAATTTTGCTAGAGACAGACACCATTCAGTTTCTAGAACGCGATTATTATTACTCGAAATATTTCTTGTTAAATGACTTAGGTTAATAACGTGTTTATCAGATTTAACAAATAATATGGTATTTCTATTTTATGTGACAAAGTGCATTTTGTACATATGAAATCGAGTCTTGTGTTTACTTTTAACAATCTTTTTACATCTAAACTTTGATAATATAAAAATGATCTTGGAACGTGGTGTAACTATTTTAGTGGTGCCTCAGAGTGCAAATGGTTAAATGCTTCAACGATTCTTCCTCCTGATTTAGTTTTAGAAAACTTTTCCCAGCATTGGTAAATTGTGACTGTTGAAGTTAGAATCTGCTGTGCCTCCACCTTGGAAATATTTCAGAGCTTTTTCAAACGAAGAAGTCAATGGTTCCCTAAATATTACAGATGCAACTTTTCTATGGTACCATGCCAGATCAGAAACTTGGTAGCACCGTGTATCTAACATGCGCGTGATTGGATTGCATCGTTGGATCAAGTTGGATCGTGGTTTCTTATCTTTCCCCGGAAATTGTTGTGTCAATTTCCACAACGTCAGAGAGAAACGTCCAATAACCAGAGAGGAACTATGGGATTTTGCACGGAACCCAGGTAGAAGGGCCCTACGGCGCACAGTGAAGAAGAGGACAATGATGGCCACGTCGACGGTAACGGCCCTGCAGTCTATATAAGGTTTCGATTTTCTTGGAGGCTATCTATTTGCGCTTTTAACACGGAACAGTGTGCTTCGAGCGTGATTCTCAAAAACACCATAAACTCCGCCATAACTTCGCCAACTGCTCAACCGTCGAGATAGCAAATCCGGTTGCTTTTAACGGTATTCAATTTATTTGGTAAATTTTCGTTCAAACCGATAATTATTTGAATCCTACTTGTATTTTATCAAACGCTGTTACAACTATTTCATTCAATTTAGAGAATTTGTTTCACACTTGTTGGGTACCTCGTAAAAATTTCGTCTTGTTATTTTTGGAAAGTAACACGTCCTTAGTCAGTTCTGCAATTAGTGATCGATAGCTCTTCTTGTTTTAAAAAGGTGATACAGTTTGTCTAAAATTAAAATTAAAATTAAGATTAAAATTAACCCTTAGGGGACCAAAACTATTTCCAGTTTACACACTGCCAAGTCCAAACTGTTCTTCAGACGAAGAGAAATTTTTGTATCGAATATAGAAAAGAGATATTCATTTTCAAATAAAACTTCGTTGATTCATTTTCATCGAAACAATCGTGCCTATTCTTCCAATGTTTCCTGCCAGATTTTACGGTTTTATTGATTTCTGCCGCGTCTATGGGCGGCATTGGACCGTTAAGGGTTAAAATCGAGCATCGCGTTTTACGCGTATCACCTGGGTCTGCGGACAAAAACTCCAGCGCGACGTCTGTTTTTGCGCACCAAGTCAAAGTCAGCTGTTCGACGAGTTCGTCACCGGCCCAGGCGAACCTTGTATACAGTCGGCCGTCTTCTGTTTATGTATATCGTCAATACGTGTGTGTCGACTGGGCATTTAACCTATACAAATGTAACGAATATTCAGCGCTGCTTAGTCCTTTCAATTTTCAAATTCCCCACTTCTCTACCTCTCTTAATCGATGGCCCACTATCTATATAAATAGGCTCGTTTAATGCGATCGCTGTGTGCGAGTAATCTGCCAAGTGAGTACGCTTTTATTACGCTTGTAATCTATCTGCACTTGCAGCATAATTCAGCTCTTTTCTATCGAGCTTTGCAATCATCGCTACGGCTTTGTAGCTAAACAACGATCGTTTGATCGTCTCTTTCGTGAATATCTCATTATAATTTCATCATTTTATTGTACATATCCTCCGTCTATACCTATATATTTATCTATACCGTTTATATCTATATCTTTTATCTATTAAAATGCCTTTAGTTCATTATTTCAACGTTTTTAACCGTACAATCCACTATCCTACCTTGCATTTCCACTAGAGTCCTTGACACAGTTTATGGCGTAATTGACATATTTTGAAGTTTGGAAATAAACTGAAATGTATAAAATGTAACAGTTAACCCTTTGCACTCGAGTGGCGACTCTGAGGCACCACTGAGATCGTTGTATCACGCTCCAAGATCATTTTTATATTATCGAAGTTTAGATTATTTTTGCAAAATAATTAAAAGAGCGTAACTGTTGTATGAACCGCGAGACTCGGTTTTATATACATAAAATGCACTTTGTTATATAAAATGGAAATACTGTAAGGCAGAAGAATTGTTTTAGATTCACAGTTGAAGTGGCTTCGAGTGCAAAGGGTTAACAAGATCGACGCGTTTAAACTTATTTCAAATTTGTTTAGTTGCAGATTTTTCGAGCAGACTGCCAGAAATGAAGATAAAGCAACGATCCTGTGAATTCGCAGCTAGATCAGAGTTACCGGCGAACCATGTGTTGATCTATGCTGTGAGTCCACTTGGAAGAAGAGTACAATTCACAGTTAATCGGGACGTATTATTGGCGCAAATCGGAAAAAATCTGAGGATACTTCGAATAATTCCTGGACCACGAAATTTCCGATGGCCGGAGGAAATGCTGTTGCAAGGAAGATACATCAGATTAAAGATATCCAACAGACATCGATTTCCGCACGTGTACCCCGACGACGAGGAGGAAGTAGTCGATCGATAGAGGAATTGCTCGAGATTTGAATACGTATTTTAAGTTTCCAGCGTTAACTACTTTTTTAAAACCATTGACGCGACAAAGTATATATTGTCTAGTTTGTTATTAAATCGTACGGATGCCATTAATTACTCGTGCTTCGAGTGGTAATTACAATTTTGTATATTACTGACACGACGATGTTCCTTGACTGCAAGTTCTGTATCGATCGACGTACTATTTTTAGAAATCGATGTACTATCGGCGTTTGTAAGATATGAATTTCTTGTATTATAACAGTGCGAATATATAAAAATGTCAAATGCTTAAAATGTTTCGTACATGTTAAACTCGTCAACGCTTAAACTCATTTCAAATCTGCGTTGTTTCGTCGCAGACTTTTTGAGCCGAGCGTCGAAAATGGAGAGACACGGTCAGTCACGCATGGAATTTACAGTCGATCGGAGAATTGTGCGCCGAGTTCTTTCTCTAGAACGAGATCGACAACGACGACAGTCGGCGAATAGAGGAATATTGCGAGATAGAGGGCATTAGACTTCCATTCTCGATGGAGACGATGTCGATCGATCGATGAATTTCTCGCGATTTGAAGGTGACGTTGTTTTATAGCGCAATTGTGACATTTTGAAGTTTGGGAATGAACTGAAATGCGAAATCCGGCGAATTGGAACGTTCTACGAATACAATATTATAATATATAATATTTAAGATCGACATGTTTGAACTAATTTCAAATTTCGATTGTTTTGTTGCAGATTCTTCAAAATCTGCGCGTCTCAGATTGTGATAAAACGTAAACGCGAATACCGGTGAAGGTCTCGAATCTGAAATCAAACTTCTACCATCGGAGATCTTGGATGGCTTATGGTCGGTAGAACTTGCGGGAGAATGTTTTAGCGAACGTTCGAGCACACCAAGATCGTCATCGTGCGTAATCGCGGTACAGAAAGATGATCGTTGAAAATAGTTACGCAACCGAATAACGGAAGCCTGCATCGAGCTAAACGGTAGTACCGAAAAAGGAAAGGTTCGATTCGCGTTCGCAATCGATCGGAAGACAGGGACATCTATTAATTTATATCATCGGGTTTTAAGTGACTGTCGTAATGGGCCAATAAAATTTATAAGCGGCAACATATCCGGCGCGTGGGCGATTGTTTACGACGATTGCCGACCACGATCTCAAATTTAATAATGAAGTCGGTGTCCGTCGTTCCTACGGGCAGATCGACGTGTGTGCTAATGAAGAAATGTTTGCCATAATGTCTTCGGACGTAACGATAATTACGAGTCACCGTGCACGTTAGAAAAGTCGTACGCGCTTTAATGGCGCCTCGTCACCGCGTTCGGCGGTTTACGAGGAAAGTAAAAAGGATCATTGTGCAATTATTAACTGTAAGATAGAGATCTACAGATGTACCCTAATTAGTATCGTTCCTGTTCGTTTACACTTTACAACCGGAGAATTCTTTCGTTTTATGTAGATCATCGTGTTACGCAGCTGTACGACGTTCTTTATACGTCGAGGACGAACTGTTCCGATGAATTTCGAATTTAAGATCAATCGATTAAGCGTGACACTGTTTAATTCATACTATAGACGCGCACAGTTCGTTAGTTTGCTTCGCATAAATTCAACGGAATAAATAATTGAAGAATCGAAATTCGAACGAGATTAGAAGAACGCTACGCTCTGGTGTAATTAGTAAGAAAAAAAAAAAGTTGGAACGATCACAGAAGAAATTACACGATTAGATTCTTTCACATCTTCCTTTTGCGAAAATTCTCAACAGAATTTCTTCATTGTCTTCTTCTTCTAACAGCAGCGAAAGTGCAAGTCAATTTCGATCCATTATCTAAAAAATGATGAATCATTTTACGATCAAATTATACCTGTTTTGTAACTATATTATGCGCATGTTAATACACGTAATACCTGATTACGACAGATAATTAATTTTTCTATTTGCTTAAACGTAATATTTTTTCGTTTTTCTCGTGACGTTGTACGTAATACTGTTACTTTTCACAGGGATTTTTATTCATTGCGTTCGATCATATATCTCTTCAAGAATGTTGACATACAGCATCGATCGATCTCTTCTTTCTTTTTTATCACAGTAATTAAGCAAGTTAAAGCTTCAATGGTGTCAAACGCGAATAAATCGTCTAGTACAATAAACAATTAAGATAATTTGATGCAGATTAGAAATGTTTCTGAAGATAATCTAGTCGTGAAAAACGGGAAAACACACAAAAAACAAACTTCGTTGATGAATCCACGACGAAAGAAAAACAAATAGAAACGGAGATCGTAACGAATACGACCAATTAGTGAATGGGACAAACTGCACATTTAGGAAGAAATTACAAATAAAACAAGTGTAAACGTCGTAGCTGAAACGCATCGTCACCGTGCATTTTTCTAGTAAAACAATTGGATAGATCGTTTGATTTTTTTGTTATCTTGTCCTAAACACAAAAGTGTCTAATTCATGTTAGTTCTGTCTTATTCCCAACGAACACGTCATACTAATTTTTATCGAATTTCACGAAATTGTGTACGACATTAAAGCGATTTCTCGAAGAAAAAGCTTTGCATCACGATACGCCTGCACCTTTATCTTGCTCCTCTTTACCGAGAACTTCTCCCCGTGGCATTCTAATAAAACTGAAATTATTTGAAATTATTTATAAAATAGGATGTTATTATCTTACTTTCTCTGAACTGTAAACGATGTTACTTGTCCGAATACTCAAGTACAACTAAGCAAATGTTATCGTCCCTGTACAAATTTCGCAGCACCAAACTCGAAAGGAATTACGTTTACATCCTGAAAATTCGCGAATATGTTTCACATTATCGCTTCTCAGTAACGGCACTATAGTGCAGACGAGATTATAACAAAAATAGAGATAATAACGAGATAATAACAAAAATTTATAGTTGAAATCAATGTATGTTAGTAAATCATGGTGTCCCTATGCGAATTTCGTCCACTGTACTTAAGTTAACCCTTTGCCATTTTAAGCCATTTTAACAGTAAATCTAAATTAACTTTTCTGACTTATAGTGTTCCCATTTTATACGACAAAGCGCATTTCACGCGTAGGAAATTGAGTCTTGCGACTCCTACGACAGTTGGACTTTTAACAAACTTTTTATATCAAAGCTTTGATAATATAAATATTATCCTGGAACGTGGTGTAACAATTTTAGTGGTGCCTCAGAGTCACCATTCGAGTGTAAAGGGTTAATACTGTTGGACGTGTCGAGAAATGTTCCGTGGCGTTCCACGCGCCTCGGACAGAACAGTTCGCCCGAGCACAGAGCGAGAGAAACCAGTCCGGGGACGTTTAATTCCTTAAACGTCCCGGCCGGCGCGGGACGTTCCGTGGCCCGATCGACGAGAATTCGGCGCGATTAAGCCCGCGGAACTGCTCGCAGGCTAATTAGCTGTCGGCTAATTAGCGGGGCGCGATATACGAGCGATCCGGGTCGCCCGCGGCGGTAAAACTGGAACGATACGATCCTTGACAAGCGCTAAATCTCGCGTTCCCCGTGTCCTTCCCGACAAGCACCGGTGTCCGACGCTTCGCTACGTGACGTTGATAGCAGTATTTCAAAACGGTGATGCGTCACTCCTCCACCTACAACAACATTGTCCGTCCGTGGGCCCGTGCGGCGCGGCGATGCGCCCGGCTCGCTCCCGGGACGTTATTATTGTGCCCTCGCGATTTTATGCCTCGCGAGAGATCTTATTAAAGGTAACGAGCACGATCGTATCGCGTCCCGCAATAAAATACCGCCGGACCCTATCCCTCCCTTGCGATTCACTTGCCCCGGGCCCAGGAAAACGGAAAGGGGTTTCTCTAGCTCGCTCGACGGATCTTACTCGGTCGCTATCGAGAAGCTCGCCTGATCGTTTCGGTTATGCCTCGGCTGGATCCGATTTTGGGAATTTTTCTTGTCACTTTCTCGGGCCGGCTTTGAAATATTATAAATTGCGGAATTAAACGAACCCGATGTGTTGATAAACTCGCATCCGAATGTTACTTTAATTCGCAGCTCTTTCGCGAGAAACCATCGAGCTTTTGTATCCCGTTAATACGTGTCACGGTTACTGGATGCTGCTGGCACTTTGGATAGGATTCTCACTTTGGCTGACGCTTGTACCAACGACATCGACTTCTTCGTGGATGATTTTCACCAGTTAGTTAAAATGTGACGCCTCCTTTTCGGAGCACGCACCTATGTGTGTCGCGAGAATCGAGCGATTGCGAGTATACTCGTCAAACACAGAGTAAACGTCGCTGTTAAAATATTGGATAAAAAAGACGGTTTTATTTNAAAAATCTGGTTGACTCAAAAGTACGTCTAATTGGTTCGCTAAGTCCTTGTTTCCTGTTATAATTAACCAGTTAGCTGTGGTGACAGTATACGCGTCGCGAGAAACAAGCGGTGACGAGTATACTCGTTAAACAGAGTAAGTGTCGCTGTTAAAATATTGGATAAAAAAGACGGTTTTATTTTATGATATATTGTATATATATTGTATATATATCATATGATATATTAACAATTTTATTACTAACATTTACTTATTCACTTAGCATTAACATATACTACGTACATAATAATAAACGAAAAACACAGGAAAAATTAAATACTTATAAAATATCGTGAATTATTCATATAATTATTCATATTTTTTATTTTTTTATTTTACTCTGGTCTGGCTTCAGAATATTCTAAACATCTTGAAATTTGAGAATATTTTTTTGTTTCCACTAAAATTACAATTTAAATAGCCAATGGTCACTATTTTTTACGCACGACGAATATACTCGCCATGACACAAAGTACTGCCACTTCTCCATGACGAGTGTACTCGTCAAACACGGCTAACTGATTCAGAAATTTGAAAGTCGACTTTACAATGTTACCAGATGTCGGGATTGTAGTATCGGAAAAGAGCTCTGTGCATAGACTTGAAACGCAGTTTAGGTTTCAAATGATAGCGAGAAAAAGAGAGAGAGAAAGAGAGGGAGAGAGAGAGAGAGAGAGAGGGAGAGAACGAGAATAGGCATATTATAAATTGTCTCCAATCGCCCATCAGCTTGAAAACAAATATGTACAATTTGGGAGGAGGAGATACGATTATTCGAGCCTCGCGGCTCGTTTTTATAGTTGCTGACAATCGGCGACTATAAAAACGTGTCGCGAGGCTCGAACGATCGTATCACTTCTTCCAAAATCGTCAATATTTGCTTGCAAGCTGAAGAACAATTGGGAAGAATTTACTGTACCGCGAAACTTTCAGAAGAAACTACCGTTCGCTTTCGTCCCGTAGTCGGCTTATAGCATTCCCTGCGCTTTTGCGTGCGGGCATCGAAGTCTCCGCAATGCCTTCACAGACAAAGGTCCGCTTTCACCGTTTCCGCGCTGCCTCCATGACAACCATGAAGATGCTTGTTTCCCGAAAATAGCAGCTGAAAAGAATTTCTTTCGGAGGGCAATAAATTAATAGACAATGACACGTACCTAGAGGCCCAGGATGGGATAATCCCCATCCGTCCTTGGCAATAGAAGCAATTTTGCCTGATTGCTCAAGTACACGGGTCGCATAACAAGATATTTGCCCGTTTTCGCAGGTCAAAATTATTTTTCTCACTCGACGTGTCTAGTCTAGAATGTTCCCACTAACTTGTTTATATTATTACAACCTGGAAAAATAGTTATAAGTAGACCGCGGAACTTTATGCAAAATAAAAATTTTGCAGGACGATTGCGAGAAAATAGAAATTAAATAAAGATAAATTGTCTATTTAGATGATTTTATATAATGAACTGAAATTAGTATAGATATATTATTTAATTCTTATTACGTCTTCGCAATTTTATACTTTAACCATCTGCTTTTGTCATAAGTGCATGACAATATCTCCGCAGCAGACTCGTCGTGTATAATAAAATGAAGCTAGATAAAAGCGAACAGTTTTTAACAAACAGAACGTAACTTGACTTTGGACGATTCCGACAGCGGCAAGCGATCAACATTACAAGTGTTCTTCCTGTTTTTGTTAATTCTACGTGGCTCGGTGTAACTTTGAAGTATACCGCATACCGATTTATAAACGTGTCAAAAATATCTGACTCCGTTGTTCCTCTCTCATTATCGAGGAGATTGCGCAGTGCATTGGAGAATCGGACCGTTAGCGTCTGAAATATGGACGTTGCGACTATGAAGGCGTCAAGAGAGAACCGATAATGGAGTGCCTCCAAGGAATCGTTCGTAGCCGGCACTCTAATTTGCAAGAATTCATGTTATCGATTTATAAACGACTAATTGCGAGAGTTGATTTTGCCCGGCTCGGTTTGCACGACCTTACGCGGATAATATATTTGCAGAAATGTCGAGCACAATTCCTCGCAACGTATCGGACAATAAAGTATCGCTTTTGCAGCGTAGCGCGGCGTAAATCATTTCTAAGTCAGCATAAGTGTGCGTTATGGCTTGGCGCGTTATGGCTACGGATACGGAGCGCGTGAAAGTCAGATCCATTTGCCAACAGCTTGTAACGCCAAACCATCGAACCGTACGCTCATTTCGGCGATAACAAGATTTTCCTCTGTAGCCGAACGTAATAATCGCATCCGACGTTATGCACGGATTCGATAAGAAAGATATATCCGCGGACGTCGGGCCGTAAGTCACCTGTTAACAGTCCGCGATCGAAAGTTTTATACTTTCGAAGAGAAATTTCGCGATCATTGTAGTCGCTCTAAAACTTAGAGTCTAAATGCGGTTTGCTTTTACAACAGTCGTTTAACCCTTTGCGCTCGATGTCACTTTAACTCTGAATCCGAAACAGATTTCCTGACCTCTACAACATTTCCATTTTACAATGGTTATATTTATAGACACAAAGTCACTTTTACGTTGTTACCGGTATCCAAACGAAAACTTAACAAAGCAACGGGTTTTGTATGCTTATATTTTCTATTATTTCTAATATTTATATTTTCTATTCTTTCTAATAATTACATTTTTTATTATTTTTAATATTTGTATTTTCTATTAATTCTAATAATTATATTTTCTATTATTTCTAATATATATATTTTCTATTATTTCTGATATTTATATTTTCTATTATTTCTAATATTTATATTTTCTATTGTTTCTAATATATATATTTTCTATTATTTCTGATATTTATATTTTTTATTATTTATAATACTTATATTTTCTATTATGTCTAATAATTATATTTTATATTATTTCCCAGTATCTATATTTCCTACTATTTCTAATAGACTCAGACAACAGTTATACTTCTAAAAATGATGTAGAAATAATTTTGGAACTAATAAGATTGGAAAGCAGATTAATTCTGAATCGTCGATCAGGAGAATTGGCTCCGTTAGAGAATTACTTAAGCGGCAAGAAAAAGAAGCGATAGACCGTGGGAGTAACAATCTTAAACACCTGATATATGGCTAGCATTGTCGTAAAGAACAATGGAAGCCCACTTCTGTTAACTAGTGCCGATTAATTCGGTGACAACGAAAGAATACGAGTTGATTGTTGACAGTTGTGGCACGGCGGTGTCTACTATGCACCACGCATCGAAGTCTCTCGAGCCGGGCTCTTATTACCATTGCGTTCGCAACTGTAT